TGCCTATGTGATTATCTTCTAGGAGTAATTATGGAAACATGCGACGAACAATGGATATTGCATCATTATTTAGTGAAACAATCATTACAATACTTCGATCCGCCATTGATTTAATAACATTCTGGTGGCCATACTCCACCTACACACTTGGTGCACAAACATCCATTCCAGCCGAAAGAGTTAAACCTCCTAAGCTTGAAGAAATGGTAATTCGAGAAATTGGAATAGAAAGAACGATTGAGGCTCAATGTCATGCTCTCCGAATATCTAAATCAAGGATTTTATTCTCGTTTGAACACATTCTTGACATAGAAGGTGTTGAATTCAGACGAAGTTTTGGTAATTTACTCTACGTATTTACGTTGCATCCGCCTACGGAAGGATCATATAGTAGTGCTGAATTATTTGCTGTACTAAGTTCACTAAAGCATCATCCGTTATTATACAAGTTAATTTTACGGAATATAGATCTTTCCGAACTTCAAGCTCAAGCCGGACCAATCAATCACGAAGGATCAAACATGCTTTCTGTAGTGTTATATGATATCCTCACATTAAATCCAAGGTTAAAAGTATTAGATTTAACATCATGTGGAATTACTGGTGAAACAATGTCAATTATTGGGAACGCATTCTCTACAGGAAAATCTTTGTTAGAGAGGTTGATCCTAAATGATAATTACATATCAGAGGAAGGTGGATTAAGAGAACTATCATCTGGATTAGCTGTTCACGGATCATTAGTAAAAGAGCTTGATATTTCAGACTGTAGATTAACGAGTGCTGATATTGATTCAATTATGACTGCCTTTACTGCAAGTTATCCAGAAAGATTAGAATCGTTTAATCTTTCCAACAATACGGGGAACTTTAGAACAGAGATACTAACAAACTTTTTGTTAAGAGCAATTAATCTAAAATCATTAAACTTACGTAATTGTGAACAACTATTTAGCTATTCTAATATAGTAATTTCGTCAGAAACATTAAGAAATACACAACTTACAACGTTAAATATTGGAGGGATTTCTTTAAATAGTCACGATCATTTAAATGCACTTTACACTTATATTCAGTCTCCATCATTCTCGAAACTAAAACATCTTTATATCGATCATTGTAATTTGGACGGCGGTGCACTAGCAAAGATATTTTCTTTAATAACAGCATCTACAAATTATGAAAGCATCAAAGTTTGGGCAGGTGGAAATTATGTATCAAGAACCTCTCCTGGGCATAAAGAACTTTGTAATGCCATTTCGAATGATTGGACACCTGTTTGGCTTTCTCTCGAAGATACAATCTACGGAACAACCATTGACCAAATTGTTGAGGTATTGACGTCATTTTGTAGTAACAAAGTGATTAAATATTTAGACTTATCATGCCCACAAATTAAAGTCAATAAGAATGTTGCTTTTAGTCTACAAGATTTCATGACAGCAGAAAAAGGTTGTGCAGTTATAGGAAAAATATTAAAGGATAACAGATACATCAAAGAATTGAATTTACGAGGGGAGCCAGATAGGCAATGGGGGCCATCACTTGGAGTCCAATTGACTGGACTAAAAACAAATGATACTTTGGAAAGGTTGAATATAAGTGGGAACTCTATAAGTGGTCCAGATGTAAGGTTATTAAACGAGGTTTTAAAATTCAATTCAAGATTGAAATATCTGAGCATAGACGAAAATATGGTAAGCTTATCTGACATCTATTCTCTGATAAAATGTTTCACAATATTCATCTATGGATTGTACAATCAATAATAAAACTAAAAATACTATCCATTTGCCACCATATTACAGGCTCTCGAATTCCAGGAACACATTCAAAATTTAGATAAAAGATTGTCTGTATCTTCAAGAGAAATGTTTTCAAGAGAACCTTTTGGTGTACAAGACATTATAATAAACAAGCATCTGTCCTCTGGCAAACATTCAACGTTGAAATCTCTGGATGAGGATGAGAACGAAAGAAATGATACATATTTTGAAAATATAAATGAAATTAAAGTGGAAACTGTAAATGAGGTTAAAATTGAAGGTGGAACGCTTCCGAAGGTTGAAGATGAGGCGCTTCCGAAGAATAGTAATTTAAATATATATGAATTTTATTACATTTAGCATTCATTAAATAACTATAACAATAATATTTATTTATTTTAGTTTACCACTGTCATCTATTAATGCTAAATTTTTACTATATATTAATAGTTAATTATTCGAGAAAATTAAATATTTATTCTTTTAAACAACCTGTATATTTTATATCATTCTTTTGCTCGATTAATATAATTTTCCTGAATAAACTTTCGCACAAATCTCTATTGTGCATTATACATTTAGTAAAATTTAACACGTTTTTGTAAAGTAGTAAAGTAAAATGAAATTCAATTTACTCTAGAACATTTTGTATAGCTTTACCTATACATAACGTAAATACATATCGTAAAAACTATTGCGGCATATCCGAAAATCTATTACATTCACCCTATAACATTGGTAAAACTTATCGATTCGTTCAACAATAATAAATTAGTCGCTCCAAAACTTATGGGAATAGCTGTAAATTGCCCAAAATATTTCAGTATCGAATGTAATGGCAAATACTTTTGCTAAGCTGTATGTATCCGTTGTTTTTTCGCTTGACATCAACATTTGCTAAATATCTTCGAGCAAATAATTATAGCCAGATATCCAAGCCAGTGAAATAACATGTGTCTAAGTACTTAATACAATTCAGATTTTTTTTTTGTTTTTTATTCTCAGGTATCGGATTCGGGTCGATCCGGAATTTACATATATATTACGTTACAGCTGTTCTCAAATTCCGGGACAACCAATAAAACTTTGATCGGCCGGAATTGGATTTTTGCATTACAATCAGTTGTCTCAGAATTTATGATAACAGCTATAATATGTTGTAGATGGATTTGAAATCCACTTTAAGAATCCAGAACATATTAGGTGTATCACACACCATATGGGAATCTAGAATTTAAAAAGAGTTTTATCTTTTTTCAAATCTTATGGCAGATGCCAAACTTAATATTAATTTGGCTAGTGGAAAAGTCGTCAACACATGAATTTCACGTGGAGTCTTTCTTCACTAAGACAATAAGACAAGAATCTACTAAGCAAGTGATGGGTTTGGGACAGTTGGGACATGCGTTGGGACATTTTGGGACATTTTAGAAATTTTTATAAATTAAAATTACTCAAAATTTTATTAAAATAATCTACTTTAATTTTTTTAAAATATATTCAGTACTTAAAAAAAAATTAACTTATTAATTATTAAAACTTGGGACATTTTGGGACACAGCAAAAAAGCTTGGGACACTGTCCGAACCCATCACTGGGCACGGGCATGGGCCCGAAGGACATGCCAAAGTGCTAAGCAGCGACTGTTTTTTTTTTATGCAAAATCCAGAACGCCGCAAAGTACGGATTGTAAGTTTTTTTTTTTTTTTTTTTTTTTTTGCAGAAACTGGATTTTATCCATGGATAATTGCAGAATTATTACAGAATTAAGGATCTTTGAAACTAAATCAACTTAGTAATTATGTCAAAAATATCAAAAATATTGCACAGATTGAGAATTTTTGTAAATTTAAAATTTGCAAATAACGATAGTCGTAACTGTAGAAAATAATCTGAGCCCAAAGCATGCCCAAATCACATGTAATGCTTAGTAGTAAATTCTAAACCTTAACTCGTGAACTAATAAGGCAAACCTATAAAATTATACTTATTCAAATCATTTTAGCATACTCTTTAATGCAATAGAGCCATTTTAAAGGGCATATTACGAGTCACGAGTTATTAAAGTTTAGAATTACTATCGCTATCGCTATTTTATTAAATGATTTACAAAACGATTGACATCTCAATTTCCGTGCTGCTAATTCTGAAAAATCGGGCAAAAAAATTGGCCGACTGAATATTTGCCGATTCGATAAGTTTTGATAGATTCGGGATATGATTACATCCGAATCAAAAGTTTATCACTACCGAATTACTGCTATTTTCAAAATTCCTGGAACACCAGATAAAAATTGACCGAATGATTTTTCGACCGTTCCGATTAAGTCA